TAAATACAGAGCGGCATGGGCCAAATGTACAACATTTACTGTGTGCCCCTCATCGCTCTCCCTCTCTCTGACTCTTTCTGGCTTAGCATTTCATTTTGGTCTCACACTCTTTCTCTCTGAGACCACAATGCACACATAAACCAACACACACAAAAAAGGCACACAAACTCACCCCCCAGTGCATCCACAATATACCAAATATCACCTTTTTTTTCTGATGGAAACAATAAAATCCCCTCTTAGCTGCTAATGCCCACAGGTCTCAACACATACACCCTTGTTATGTCTTCTTCCCAAGGCAGGGAGTTATACATTATGTTATCTCCCTAATCTGCAAACCAGCTGCAACTGGAAACGAATTAATAACAAATAAAATGCAGCCAGTACATAAAAATGTGTAGATTGCCCTGGGGCACCTAAACAGGAAACAGTGAAACAATTAGACTTCTTGTTTTGTTCTGACCTCTGTTTTGTTTTGTTCTACTTAGCTGCTGAATAGAAGGGAGCTGGAGATATAGACTTTTGTTTTTCTGTGTCTGTAATCACCATGGTTAAGCCTCCCTGGTGATAGCAGGGGTCAAATCTGCGTGAACACCCACTTTTCATCCTACAGTGAAATTAAATACAGTGTTACAGTCGAGCTCTATGAACGCTGTAATTCTCTGCTGACTGCAACCCACACCAAGTGCTGCAGTTTAGCCACCCAGGCCTGTACGGTGCACGCATGTGATAACAGGCAGCGATATGGCGTCCTAATTGCTGGCCTGAGTGCTACTGGAGGGAGTTTTCAGCAGGTTTCTTTTTCACTTTCGCTCCATTTGATGTCTTTGAAGTTGGTCTTTTATCTGCCGTTGCTCCTGATGGTTGTTGTCTTTGGTGCAGTGCTGTGTGCGTCCTGCTCTTTGAGCACTCCTAACATGTAACAAAGGCGAGCCCTTAGAGAGAGAAGAAGAGAAAGGGAGCTCTCTCACATACTTTCTCACATAAATTCATACCCGCACAAGCATGGCTACAAACGGGATATACAATCACATTTAGCGACAGCCATTCACATGCACACACAAAAAAAAAAGCCTCCGCTGTCAGTAAAAACTGCTCTGTGTGATTGTTTAACGTGCCCTAATTTGATAAAGGGCCAAGTGCGGGAAATGAGAGAGTAGTGTATTTGTCTCAGGGGTTGTAGTGGGGTAAATATAGCAACAAGACAGCACCAGTTGATATGAAGGATTCCATGGTGTGGAGTGCTGTTGTGACTCACCAGGCTTTGATGATTAGTGTGTGTGTGTGTGTGTGTGTGTGTGTGTGTGTGTGTGTGTGTGTGTGTGTGTGTGTGTGTGTGTGTGTGTAGGTGTGTGTGTAGGTGTGTGTGTTTGCTTACATGCATTTGGATTTATACATTGTCCGGTGTTGTTTTCATTCATTTGATGAAGTCAACTGTTATTGGCACCCACTCTTGACTCCTCCAACTCGGTGCACAATAATCCATAGCAAAAGAGAGATAGAAAAGTGAGAGTGTGCACAAGTTGGCGAGGCAGCGAAAGACCAGAGGAAAGCAGGGAAGGAGCGAGGGGGAAAGACAGTGAGAAGAAGCCAGAGAAAGAGAGAGCCTGTGTGCGTGGCTGGCTCCCGGCTGGCTGCGTGGGTGTGTGTGTGTGTGTGTGTGTGTGTGTGTGTGTGTGTGTGTCTTGAGAGTGTGTTGAGAGGAGGGTGAGAGCGCTGGTCGTCTCCATGTCTAATCAGGAGAACACTTGTGTGTCCCCGTCTCATTGTCTCCTGGGCCCCTCAGAGCAGAGCCCCTCTCCACTCCAGCACTACACCTCAGGACATGTTGATAACTGCCGGACCACTCCACAACGGCAAACTCGCAGCTCACACAGGAACCAAGACTGTGGACTGTTATGGTGAAGAGGTGCAGGGACGATGAGTATGAATGCACTGACTTCATTCAGGCTGACAAGTCCTTCAGGTGATTCTAAATATTACTGGAAATTGATTATCCCTTCACAAATTCACTGTTGTAGTTTCCATTAAACTATACAGGAATGTCCTTGTGGTGTACTCAATAATGAGTATTTTGACACGAGTAGTTTATAGCATTTTTAATCTCATATCACTAATATGTATTAAATCACTGTTTTCTATTCCAAACGAGGGTTTGTCATGCCTTGAGACAAAATGAGATGCCTTGGGCCCAACTTTTTTTTATGAAATAACTGAATATGTAGTAAATCGTGTCTGAACAATATAATTAATGTGACATAGCCACTCTGATGAACTCAGCCTCACCTCGTGGTCAGTACTAGTAAAAACACAACCTGTCTCACACACACACACACACACACACACAATAAAGTCTTCCTTAACGGGGACAGTCGCAGGGCATGCGCGCCGCCGACCCCGGTGTTTCTGTTCCATGGCAGGGCAGCAGTGCGCGCTCCCGACTCAGCAGTTTCCCAGTTCCGTCTCCTCCATTACTGGCTGGGCTCACAATCAATAATTCAATAGTTTTGGCGTCTAAATCCTGCCCCAAACGGCGAGATACACAAACTAGTGCAGACTCAGTGAGATCAGTATTAATTAATAGCTAAAGACATTGTGTTTTGTGTGGAAGTATCGGAAGGGTAATGCGATCTGGATTCCTATAATTACAGGCTCCCGTGTCAGGTGTTTATTAAATGTTCAATAAGAGGCGGTTAAGATGTCAGGAAATGAATCAGGCAAATTTGTAAGTCAAGTGAAGCAGGCGTTAATAAATATTTTTTTCACACAGAGTCCCTGGCTTTGTTTTAGGGCTACTTTGTGAGCTGCCTATATATTTCAATGCATAATACCAAACTTTAGGCCACAAAACATAAACAGAACATTTGCATCCCGATATGGGCAGAGGGCCAAGACGAGGAATGAGTATTCACAACTGGAATTACACTCAGTAGCATTAATCTATATTACTTTATGTCAAGATGTTAAACACTTATTTTTTAATCACAATTACTGACAATATCTTTAATGATGCTGGTACTAAAAACGCAAGTTTTGCAATTTGTTAAATTGAATCCAAGTATTATTTATAATGTAGACATTTAGGCTGTTATGTGCAAGCTGATGCGGACAAACATCAGTGGATATCGTTACATCAAAAATGCATCTTTGTTTTACAATTATCAGGCCGTTGGGGTTTGCTCATGGCTCCATCAGCAGTCCAACACAGTCGTTTCAAATCTGAAGGAGCGTGTCAGAAAAAAAACGTGTGCGTGTATTTCAAGTGCTTCAATGTTGCAAAACTTTATCTTTGAGTCACTGAACGGCCTCTGTCTCTCTTTTTTTATCCTTTATCTGCCTGTTTTTCTAGCGTGTACTGGAAATTACCAGTCCTCCACTCCAAACGCTCCATAACCAAACTATGAATAATGCATCGGTTTGGCTTTGGAGCAGCAACAGAGAGCCATGTTCCTGACTAAACGGGCCTGTCACAACTGTGACGTTATCAAAAGACCTATAGCTACAGGCATGAATTATTAAAAATCCATTGCCCTCAAATGTTTATCCGCACAAATAATAATAATAATAATAGTAATAATAGTAATAAATGCCAATTCAAATAGCCTAGTAAAAATAATGTCAACTCATTAAAGAAACTTTAGTTAATTTATTATAGGAACGAAAAACATTTTGTTTCGGTGGATTCACGTTTCACATGTGATGGAAAAAAGTAAAACAATTTCATGAATATCTTTTTTTTTTTTTTTTTTAGAAACCCGTGCCTCAGGCAAGTTCACTTTCACTGTTATAAAAACATCAAAATTACATACAGAAAGCACGTGATTTTTAATACACGGAAATAAAGTAAAATACAAAATGAACAACTTCCCCACAAGGCATTCATAAAGCCACTAAATAATAAAAATAATGCATGTTTCTTGTGTATAAACATATTTTACACGTGCCCGTACCGGTTCGCATACAGTCCTCGTGTTACTGTCGTTTGTTCGCTTGTTAACTGTGGTGTAGATGGTATTCGTGACATAACGCTCTCCTTTAAAAGGGGACAAATCACCACCTTGTAAATAATGGACACTAGATCTGGTAGATCCTGACAACGAGTTCAGCATGTAGCCTACACTTATATTATAATCTCACATTTGTGGTGTGTCGCAATAGTTTTCACCTTTACCCGAGGAGGTCCAAACAAGTTCAAATATAGGCCAAACATTCAAGTGAGAGTTGCCCTTCCTCGGAGAGGGGAGGAAAGAGGGACAGAGGGGAGAGATGAGAGAGAGAAGAAGGGGGGAGAGATGGCTCACATCACGTCATCCGTGAAGACAAACTCATGCAAACACTGCTGAGGCATTTTGAATTTAGACAAGAAACAGAAGAGGGAGAAACACCTCGAATATTGTCTTTTTTGTCTCTATTTTGTCAAAGAATTCCCGCTCTGTCCTTTCACAGAGAAAGTGTTTTTGAAATATACCGAGGCCAGCCTCTATATAGGTTCAAAATTAAATCAGAACAATAATAATATAATATTAAAACAGAACAAAACAACTGCAGAATGGTGTGTTCGCCTTGTTTGGCAAAATATCAACCGTCCCAGCTGCATCCTCCTCCTCCTCCTCCTCCTCCACCTCCTCCTCCTCTTCTTCCTCAGGGTGTCCCGTCGCCTTCCTCAGCTATGTGGCTGCAGAGAAAGACCCTGCGTGGCCTCGCTGTCCTTTTTTTCTTTTTTTTTTAACGTCCAAAAAAATCACGTCTGTGTAGGCTATGACGTCAATGTCTCTTTTTCACCGTCTTTTCTTTATCTCATAAATAGCCTATATTTTTTAAAGTTATACTCGTCGTCCTTCATTGGAAAAAGGAAACATAAATATCGTCCATGGATAAGTTTTTTTCTCACTTAGTCCTTGGATTTTTTCACTTTGTAAGCGTTTATGTTCAGTGTCACTCAGTCGCGAGGACGTGCCGGATAGTGTGTGCGCGCCTCGTGTCCGCGTGTCTCCCTGGCGTCACAGTCCCAGCGCGGCCGTGTGCTTTTTGGCCTTCAGTCTCAGGTCGGCGATGCTGGAGTTCTTGCTGGTGTTTTTGGCGGCGGCGGCGGCGGCCACAACGGAGGCGGCGGAGGCAGACTCGGCCGCGAGCGTCGCCAGGGGCAACCCGAATGGCGGCGCGGGGAACATCATGTAGGGCGCGTGCGCTGCCAGGTGAGAGTGCAGGTGGTGCTGCGCGTGGGCCACGGCGCTGTCCAGCTGCAGTTGCGCCTGCACCTGAAAGGAGAAGGGCGGCACGTTGCAATGACTATCCTACGGGACGGGACGCACGGATGGGGAGAGAAGGGGGAGAACATGCGTTAACTTTGCAGTGTGTTGTCTGAAGGGTCATTGAACTAGTGTTGACTGCTGTAGATGTTTCTCAGCTGTGAACTGTATAACTGCTATGCTATGAGGTAGGATGATGACCCAGTGGTTAAAGAGGCCATCATTCAGTCATTGAGCAGTATCACTGGGAGTGTGTTGGCTACTGCAGCGCTTCTGAATCAAAGGTCAAATTTGAGCTTTTATTTGAACATACATCAATAGCATGAAATCTAATCTCAATTCAAACTTTCATTGCCTTTGGGAATCTTGGGCCTTTGCCTACCAGATAATAAACCCAGCCCAGGCCAGTGGTGCTAAAACTGAGCACTGGAATGTAATAGGCTACAAATAATGCACATAATTTCACTATTCTGTGCAAAATCTCACCACCATACTGTGCCCCACCTTACAGATGCACAGTTGAGTACATCAAAAACAAGTCACTCCTCTCATGGGTATACCTGCATTGGACAAAACAAGTCCAAACCCTCATTTTCGTTCGCGGAGACTGATTAAAAAACATTCAGGATATCTTGGCCTTGGTTAGGCCGCAGACTATCTCTCCTACAAATGGTCCTTAAAACAACAGAGGGATCTGGCACAGTGTTTTTGTCAGTGTGGTAATAAGAGCCTAGTTACCCCCTTCATTGGAACTGGAGTCTTTGCATAGCACTTGGGCAATGCCATGTGCCAAGACAGCAGTCCGGGGATGGGTCTGGTTTTTAAGACTAGACGCTTCAAAGTAACTTGCCTGTTGGAATGGCATCCGTAAAGCCCCCACGTTGACATATGGCGCTACACGACAAGCTTCAAACTGATTCGCTGCTCCAATCAGGACTCCTGCAAAAACACACACATACACACACACACATACACACACAGATGATAGCCTCATTGTGAGGAGAATATTCAAAACCACAAAGAGCAAACGGTGGGACTGAATAACGAGCAGTGAGCAGACTGGCGGAGTAAACTTTAATAACGTCCAAGATAAACGCACACTAAAGAAATCACACTGCTTTTGATGGCATAATTAACTGGAAATGAAACCACCACCCGAATAGTAGCAGTGGATAAAGATGAAGGACGTTACACGCATTTGAGCATGTAGTTAGCCTTGTAATAGAATAGAATAGAGCAGAAATAAGCCTATAGTTTTGTCTTTGTGGAAAGCATGCACGATTAAAAAAAGCATACCTTTATGTAGCTGGTTCTCCTGCTTTCTGCATTTGGCTCTTCTATTCTGGAACCAAACCTGCAGGGACAGAAATTAATTAGAGACCTACTGATTGGCAGCTGCTTGTGAGGCCATGTGTAATTCCGCTCAAAGTGACAACAACCGCAGAAAAACAATATCCCCGAGGAGCACTGAAATATTAATGACACTGCTTAACCCCAGATTTTAATTATTGCATTTAGTCTACAACGAGGGAGAGTGAGGGGTTGGAGCAGAGAGCAGAGAAACGGTGGAGCAAAAAAAAAGGAAGTAGTAGTACATTTTCGAAAATTAAAAATCGCGTTAGGAGAAAAGAAACAGCCGTGTTGGAAATGTGCAGGACTATAATAAATAACCTTGTCAGCGTTGGTTTCATCTTTCTATAGATTCGTGTCCCCGAAGAGTTGAATGGACCCTCAGATATCGAATAGCAGCAATGCTACGGTTTTGGACATCAGAGCAAGGCGATCTGAGAGCATCTCCCTCTCATTAAATGACCGCTGAAATTAATTACCCTTATCTGCAGAAAATCCATGTCAGAGAAACGCTTAAAATGCCTCGCAGTTTTGTCTAATCACCGCCATAACACGTACTTGCACAAAAAGAAAAAGAAAAAAAAAACCCGCTTCAAAGACAGCTCACTTCTCTTTTCCTTCTGTTGAAATCGACAAGCAATTTCAGAGAAAAGCCTTGGAACACAGATTAAACGATTTATTACTATGATAATCTGCTTTGAATCTCCCACACAAAGCTCGGGCTAAATTAGTCCACAATACAACATGTCAATCTACAATCTCCCCTACATTAGGTCCATATACACGCACTGAAAGCATGATTGAAATATCATATTGATTTGGCTGTCAGCTGGCTTCATTTATTGACCACAGTATATGTCAATCGGAAGTCCTTTTGTGCACGCTTCAGGTATAATTTATTGCGATGATAAAAGCAAATGCTCTGCTGATATTGATTGAGGCAGATTTTTTTTTTTAAAAAAAGGATTCAAAATAAATGTGTGGTCTCTGCATGCAACTGGTAAAAAGAAAAAAAAAGATATTGTAATAGAGAGAAAAGAGAGAGGGAGGGAGCGCTGTTCTTGATTTGGGTAGAAAATAATACATAATTTATGCAAATCCCCGAGCTGTGCTCCTTGTTCGGGACACAATACGCCTTATTGGGGAGATTCCAGTTCAGGCCGGGAGAGCCCTGCAAAAAGCTGGCTTTAACCTATTTGTTTGGGGGTGTAGGGGGGGGGGGGGTGGGGGGGTGCGGGGGGGGTGGGGTAAGTTTGGGATGGGGATCTTTCGGGCCCGTTTTTATGATTTCTTGTTTTTTCCAGAATGACCGCGATATTTAGTATGGAGACAAATGCTCAGTCCTCCCCTGAGCCGGGGCATATGGGATAAAAAAAAGAGCCTGGAATAAGATATTATAAGGTTTTTGATATATCAGATGAGAGGAGATGTCTATATGTTCATGTGCCCCCCCCCCCCCCGATCCTTTACACAAGAACATGTCTGGCCCGCCCACCCACCCCCATCCCCTCTCACTCCCCAACACTCCCCTCCCCTGACTGGCTGAAGCCTTACTGGGTTTCTGCGCAGATGGTGTGTCCCCATGAAAAACGACAGCAGCTCTGACAAACAGGGCCTTGGTAACATACACCAAGAAACTGAAGGCAAATATTTGTAGGCTTATTTGTTTCGGTGCATTTGTACAATAACGATTACAACGGCTCTCGTGATACAAACAGGGTCTAATTGAGATCATTAACAGGAATTAAACAGTTAAAACATGCTGAGAGAAAAAATAATATCATAGTAATATTTTGATGGCGAACTATAGTCTGGTTTCCTCCTTTAAATTCCTCGTGACAACTTATTGAAACTTAAAAACATCCATGAGATTCACCTCAACTGTTTCACACATTCAGGCCTATACTCCATAGTCTAGCAAGTGTGTGTCTGTGCACGATTGTCTTCTAGGCTACATGAAAAACCTTCATGAAATAAAAATTTTATCACCAAGCTCTCCTGGAAAAATGGGAGTATGGGAGAAACATGGGAGTCATTGGAAGCATTTGTAATTAAGTTCTTCCTCTTTTATTATAATAATTATTATTATTATTGTTAATGATATTTATTTATTATTTAAGCATTTGGGTCAGGAAACAGGAAACATCTACCCACACTGCCATGATGATGATGATAATGTTGTTGATGATAATAGTGATAATTAATTTTTGATTCTGTTTCAGGGTGTGGGGGTTTTATTTTGTACTCTTAGATTGAAAATGGGGTCACTGTCTTTGAAAAAGATCTTCAATACTTCGTTTATTATTATTATTATTATTATTATTATCATTATTATTATTATTATTATCATATATATATATATATTTATATATATATATGTATTATTATTTTATTTTTTTTTCCACAGATTTTTTTATTTACAGGCTTCCTACCTGTACTCGGGCCTCCGACAGTCCTAGTCGCTGGCTAAGCTCCTCCCGCATGAAGGCGTCCGGGTAGTGGGTCTCGTCGAAGAGCCGTTCCAGCTCGTTGAGCTGCTCTAACGTGAAGTTAGTCCGACTTCTCCTCTGTTTGATTTTAGTCTGTGTCTCGTCCTCTATAGGCTTCGAGTCCTCTTTCCTTTCCTTCACGTCCGTGGTGCCTGTGAGGAAAGGGAGAGAGAGACATCAACACTATGCAGCTGGACTTTGACCTCCAGCCTATGGTCATCGTTGGCCTTCATCGTCACATAGCCTTTTAATGAAATATTCTTATATGCTTTTATTCTGAAAAATAGACCTGGTTCTCACACAAAGCACGAAACATACATCGGTTTGTTGCAGCTAAAAACATAAGATTGTTTTTAAAAAATGAACCAAACTAGGTGTGAAAATTCTGTACTTCAATAAAGGGTAGAATAACTAAAAAAAAACATGCATTAGCTACTCAGCGACTCTAGCTATTAAATAGTCGGAGCCCACATAAAGGAGCGAGAATTTTTTTTATGGACCTACACATACTGAGTTAAAGCCTTGATCATAATCATTTAGTGATGCTAAGGAGAGACAGAAAAATGAGAGAATAAAGAAAGAAAGGAAGAAAGATAGAGAGAAAGAGACATGCCCTCCCAGCCCTCAAATATCACAGAGCTATCAGACCTCGGATGTTTTGTAGAGCTACATAAAGCTCTTTAATTATTAACTGCTTATAAATATGCAACGCGGTGCCCACTGTTGGATGTCTGATACATGCTTGTCGCAGCTCCGCTTTTAACCACGCTGCCCATGACGAACAGATGTCATTTTTACAAGCCATCCAACTCTGAGATATCTTGTCCTGTGCGTTGTCACATTTTGTCCAGGTTTCATAACAGACAGTGAACATGCTGCACAGGACAGCTGCTGCGCGTAAAAGTGAGTAGGAATTGGTTTATTTGAAAGCATTAAACACAAAACCAGTTATCTTAAGTGTAAAGTAGGCTATGATTTTATGCTGTCTTCAATCCTTGATTTTTTTTCCTTTATTTTCTAAATTTTTTCTTTCTTTATTTTTGCTTTATGTTATATTATATGAACAAATAATTATTGAGAGCAACCACGCACTAACAATTTTCCCACCTACTGTTACCATTTGATATTCGTAATATGATATCATCAGGTTTGTATTCAAGCCAGCTACTATCACACCTGATGTGCCTTCACACCTGAAAATAGACATCTGTGTCACACCGGGTGAAATGAAAAGACCTGATTTCCACCTCTTCATGCAGTGATCTGTATGTCAGGTGAACCATACACCTTCTTTTCGTTGAAACATTGCCACTATATATAAAATATATATAAAGAACCCTGAGACAACTGGCAACCAATATAAGGAATATAATAACTATAATGGATAAAGATAAACTATAAGGCTTTTGATCAATATGATGTCGAGTCAACTGCAGCGTTTTTTGAAACGAAGTGTCACAGTGCACCTATGTTACTTTATAAACTTGTGATATAAAAAAAATACAAGACATTGGTCTTAGGTCCAATCATCCTGTAGAAGAATGGATATTAGTTTGGCACAGGAGGCCTTGTTGTTTATCACACTGTAGTTCTGGGCTATAGGCCCTTTCTGATGCACTAAATCTTTGAATTAAAACTTTTAAAATGCACCACAGCAAGTCGTTACTAAGCTGCAAGCCTCTGATTAAAATGGAGAATATTATGAGCAATAATGTCTGGTCAACAGCACGTAAGGAGGGCACAAGGCTAACCATACTAACATGATCAAAAACAGGCGAAATGATAGTTGCAGAAAGCAGCAGTTTCCCACTCTTACAGAGCGCGATCATCCTGTAACTTACACCGACAATTACTCTACTGTGCTACTAAAATCCGCAGCTACTGTTTGGATCACAATCGTGACTCCAAATAAAGATGTTTTAAGTCTGTTTCGGAAATAAAAGCGTGGCAATGAAATCAGTATACGATGTTCGATTACTCTCTCGACTTTATCCCTCCTCTGCTAGTCCTTAAGTCCTCTAAAATCCGTGCTGATAAAGACTGTACACCATGCAGTCCTACCGTCAATGAGTTTGGGGCTCCCGGCGTCCCTGATTCTTTCCGGGCCGAGCATGTCCGTTTCTCTGCCCGGCGAGAGCGCAACGTTTCGGGTGACTGCGGCTGCCTCCTCTCGGCTCCCGGGCTCCGCGGATAAAGACTCCCTGCTCCCTGCTCGCGTCGACCCGGTCTCCAACACCTCCCTGTAGGTTATCACTTCCTTCTTCTCCTTCACTTTCTGGTCGAAAGACTTAGACACGAAAGCGGTGAGCTCTTCCATCATTGCTTTCTCTCCTCTTAAAAAAAAAAAAAAAAAAAAAAAAAAAAAAAGAAAAAAAAAATCACCACACACCACACACTCTCTCACACTCTCTCCCTTTGCTCCACGACAGCTTAAGACATCAATGGTGTGGCTCGTTTTAAAGTCGACCCCTTGAAAATGATACGAGGTGATGCTGCCAACTCTGGAAGAACGTAAAAAATATATAACGATATATCTTCTCAGCCAATTCCTCCTCCTTTGCTAGCGGAGTTGGGAACCTGCTGGTGATCCTCTATTGAAGTCACAGTATTTATACTTTGCGGCGCCTTGCCCCCTTGATCCGTGCAAATTACCTCCCCTCAGGATGCCGGGATGAGCCCCCCTTCCCCTTCACTGATATGGGAGCGAGAGAGGAGTAAAAAAAAAAAACATTAAGCAGCACCGTCGCTATTGGCCATTAATCCGAGATTGACAAGAAGGACTAATTAATTTAATTAAGCGCTCATTCGCTGCTATTGTCCTGAGTTAGTTTTTTAAACACCCGGGAGATGGTCATAGATCTCTCTCTCTCTCCCTCTTTCCCTCTCTCTCTCTGACTCTCTCTCTCTCTCTCTCTCTCCCTTTCTCTCTCTCTCTCTCTCTCTCTCTCCCTCTCTCTCTCTCTCTCTCTCTCTCTCTCTCTCTCTCTCTCTCTCTCCCTCTCTCTCTCTCTCTCTCTCTCTCTCTCTCTCTCTCTCTCTCTCACTCTCTCTCTCTCTGCAGGGGTGTGGCTTAAAAAATCGGAAAATGACAAGAGAGAGGGAAGCACATGGATGAGGAGTCCTTCCTCACTCTATCTCTGTGATCTGGGGTGGGGAATAAGACAGCGATGACATGGGGAGAGAAGAGGTAAAAGCGGACCAGCTGGGATGCCGAGAGGAGCAACAACGACTTACATAGGGAGCTTTAGAGGAAGCTCAAGTGAACATATTTGGCTTTAACCCCAGTTGCATTCACGGTTGGCTTTAGGCCTGGTGAATTTATCCAGAAGTTTTCGGCGTGGTGTTGTGCATCCAAGTTGTCGCTTTTGATTTGAAACGGAATTTCACCGTAAAATATGTATTTAAAAAAAAAAAAAAAAGTTCAGATGATAACAGAACTGCGGCGGTTTGAGGCCTAATTTTATAGTCTACCAATAATAATAAACGAAATTCTTCTTATTATTATTATTAGGCTATTATTATTCTTATTATTCTTATTATTCTTATTATTCTTATTCTTATTCTTATTCTTATTCTTATTCTTATTCTTATTCTTATTCTTATTATTATTATCTGCACATGCACAACAGTATAGGTTATTAAAATGTATGTATTTAATGAATAGACATACGCCTGATATGAAAGTTTTAGGACCCTGTGAGACAAATTATTCAATGTTTCTTCACTGTACAGCGTTGGTTTATGTTTCTAATCAGCAATTATGTATTTTAAATTGTCATCATTAGTGAGACTATATCGCTTAATATTAATTCTCAGTGGACTTTTTAAGCCATTAGGATGTTAAATAGCAGCTAAACGTTTAATTATAGTGCCTCTTGCGATGCGTTGCCATTGGGCGCACTAATTAACGCTTTCAACTGGCTGTTTCCCGCCGAAATGATTGCCTATATCTGCGAAAAAAATAAATAAACAATGGTTGACTCGCGGTGAAGGTGAAGTGAACGCCGCGGAGAGAGAGGGAGAGAGAGAGAGTGAGAGCAATTAAGTGGGAAGAGGAGGCAACATATAGCCAGACAAGTAACAGGATACAGCGGGATTTTGAAAACGTCGGGATGAATCTGATGCAAAATTAAGCGTGTTTATTGATAATCTATATAAAGACCTAATTCCACACAAGAGCTCTAACAATTCCCTTGATTAAATATTAACGATGTTTCAGCTTGAACCCTAGGCATTAATTACTATTATTTCTGCTGCATCTGAAAGCAGGGTGAATTCCTAATCGCTGTGATGAGCAGCCTCTTGTATCTATTTGCAGTGAAAACCACATTAAATTGTTTCTTATCAGCCATTCCTATGCATGATATTGATTCATTCACTTGTAAACGTTGTCAGTGTAACAGTGGTTGTTTCACCTTCAGCCCTGTTGTGTGTTATGTGAATTTCAAATAATTAATCCTCCTACTTTGCTGAAAATTGTTCGGATGCTTTGCCTGCCCTTGCAGCTCTCTGCTGTGTACATGTCGGTGTGAGACCTTAATATCTGAGAAGATGACCTCAACGAAATGATAACTGACAAGTTACAACTCACACATGCAGTTCCTTATGTTAACATTTGTAGTGTGCGTGTGGGTATTTTGAGATCAAAACGAAAGCCAAGACTGTTGATATACGCGAATAAACAGTATAAGCCTATTAATCTGGAATATTTACAACTGACTGGAGCCTGAATTCCAAAAAATTACACATATAGTCCAACATAAAAGTTAAAGCTATAAGTAAACAAGATGTATTGCTGCTTATTTAATTGATTTCGTGTTTCTAGATTTATGAAAGAGTGTCAAAGGTGGCTGCACTGGAAAAAGTGTCATCCAGAAATGTTCACATATGACAATCCTTTTCCTCTCAAATAGCCTAAATCAGTCATGCAATAGTGGAAATATAATTCTTTACCTGTAGGCTCACTGAAAATATATGTGAAGCTACTTTATTAATGGTGGCTTATATTAATTTAAAACTAAATTAGTGTGGTCTCATTCATAAAAAAACGATTTCAAGCCCTAAACACCAAATAAGAGCAGTCAGTCCATCGATTCCTCTGTGCTTGATTCTGTTGTCTCGGCTCGATCGATGCTCTCTGGTTTGACGAGTAGAGTCTTATGAGCAGTGCATGGTTGAGTTGTAGAGCTCCGCAACGATTTAAAGGTGAGGAGCGGGATTTTCATTTCAAAGCAACTTCTCAGTTTATTTGCTATATTTTGTTTTTCATGTAACGTTTACTGACTACAATGTGTTTACTGTCGAGTAGCTAGAAGGCTTCAGTCAAAACGAGAACAACAGCCAAACGTTAGTCGAGTTAGCACAGTTAGCCTGCTAGCTAGTCCGCACAGAAAACACGTTTGTTTTAAATGTACCTTCTTTATATTCACAGCATATGCGACAACAGTGACGTTACAGCTGTTGTTGTGTTTCTAAAAACACAGTTACTTCCCTACATGCAGTTTATAAGATAAGCTACTTGTTGTCTTAGCTAGCTCTACAGACAGACCTCTTTCTAGATCTCTGTTCAAAGTAGCAACAATAATAAAACATATTGTGTATGAGATATGTTAAATTGTTATGGTAGTTCACGTCGATGCTCTTGGTTTAATTGTGTAACAAGTTCAGAGAGATAGCTGCTCAGTAATCCTACTCTTGTGTGTGTGTGTGTGTGTGTGTGTGTGTGTGTGTGTGTGTGTGTGTGTGTGTGTGTGTGTGTGTGTTGCCAGCTGACAGACAGCCAGCATGGGTCGGCGCTCCTCTGACAGTGAAGATGATGGTCGAAGCAGGAGGAAGAGAAAACAGCGTCGCCGTTCATCCTCCTCTTCCTCTTCTTCATCCTCATCCTCCGGCAGCAGGGTGACTAGCAGCCGGAGTCGCAGATCCAGTCGACGGAGCCGATCTCGCTCCAGGGACAGGGACAGGGACAGGAGGTGAGGGTGCACAGCAAGCTTGTCTTTCCTAAATAGAGGTAGCAGGGATGAACCCTGAGTGGGTGACTGTCCTGTTTAAGAGTCTTAGCTAACTCTGGCACATTTACAGCAATGTTTAGCCAATAAATAAATAGGCCAATATACACATTAAAGTATCAGTATAGATCTAACAACTTTACTGCCAGTATTTTTCTGATATGCCTCTCTCACAGAGGTCATTTTGATGTGTCATAGGAAAAGCACAGATGTTACTAATGACATTCACAATAGCCCTGTTGTACTCAAGTGCCCCAATAAGTCATGACAATGTGACAGTGAACCATCATGAACAATCCCTAGACCCTGAAACTGAAGCAGTGAATATGGATTCAAGCCATTGTTTGTTTTTATTATTTACACCTGTGCCTTTCCTTCTGTGAGATGTCAAAGTGTCTTCTATGAAGTGGCATTTATGTCATCATTTTTGGCATTTGCATTATACAGAACTTAATACAGAGAAAAAAATGGGTATTGTTTTTTTTTTACTTTGGCTCCATTTGGGCAAAGGAGAGATGCCATTACTTAGTAATAACTGAGACGGCCCTGAGTAGTTTGGATTTTCTATAGTTCAGTCTTGTTGAAAACTTATTGAATTCAAGAAAAGTTTGTTTGGTTGACATGTAAACATTCTTTGAAACAAATTTTGCATTCTGATTTTAAGTTGTTTACATTTCAGTTTTGATTATGTAAGCCCAGGTAAGATTGTTGTTTTACCTCCCGTTTTTAGTTATTATCCATATAGAACAGTGAGCAGTGAAGGACCCCTGTCAGATTACAGTGAATACCGAATAAGGAGTCTGCTCAGTGGACCCAGTTTATTTTGATATTTAATAGTGACATTATGATTAAGCCTCCACGATTTTAGTTGGTCACATGATCTCTACAAAAAGAACGTGTATTGGCACTATAAGGCTAAAGGTCATTTTAGAGATTAAACATCTTGAATTCTACATGCAAAGTGAGACAGTTGGCACTATGTTAGTTTCTTATATCTCGAATAGTTCGACATTTAGGATAGATGAGGCTCATTTAGATGCCTGGTTTTGTGTCCAGTCTTTCAGAAAATAAATAAAATGGAAAAGCTTGGCATAGCTGAGACATAAAATGTTGCAAGCTCATACTACTTTTATAAGCTTCTTCTTATGTATCACATATCACAGAATCACACGTTGGTATCTAGTAGTTGCTGAGGAAGGGGGAGGCTCAGAAATAATCAGACATCTTTACAAGTGGCTAGTGGCTGGACCTGGCCTCCTCCATCCACCATCAATCCATCTACAGCTGCCACTGGCTGTGTGTGGCTGTTCAGACAAGGCCAGTTGATGGTAATTATTTATGAGACTTGGTCAAGGTCCATTACTGCTGATGGGAAGTCATTGTCTGTCTGTACTGGGTGGGGCTGGGTGGGCAGTGTAAACCCTGGGACCACAGTCCCTCATCTATTAGCCATACGTTATGATCAATTAACCAAGACCTTGTGTGTGTGTGTGTGTGTGTGTCTGTGTGTCTGTGTGTCTGTGTGTGTGTGTGTGTGTGTGTCTGTGTTGTGTGTGTGTTTGAAACTCACCCCTTTAATAGGCTCATATGAAATAGGACACTGTAGGATTTTCAACCTGCATAAGTACAAAGGGTGTAAAGAGACCTCATGTGGAAAAACAGAAGAGTACTTATGCTCTTGGCTGGTGACATCATGACCACATAATTAGTGTGTATGCGCAAAGAGAGTAATAGAGTGCATGGACATGCGCGTGAGATATTAAGTGGGTGCAAAGCAGAGAAAAAGTGTGTGTGTGAGTGAACAAGAAACATGAATTCCAACTTTCTAGGTGTATTCACGTGAAAGGCTTCTGTGTTAACCAACTTGCACTCACATGTGTTTGAGCCATTATGTTTTATTACATTACATTTGCTTCTGGCTTCTGTGAGAATTTGTGAGTTAACACCACCTTCCAAAAACTGTCAGCTCACTACTGTGTGTTTCCTCTGTGAAATGTATGAAGTGGTTCTACAAGGGCTGTGGAAGTTATTTCATAAGGCCTCGCTCATGGGATCCAGCCTTTGGAATACTAATGGATCTTTGCTGTGTTACTCTAAGTGGTACAAATATGGTTTGATAGTTCAGCCTCTGTGTTATTTGTATTGCTTTCCCTTTTCTTCTCCTCTCCTCTATCTTGCAGTGTTCCCACAGGACCAAGTGTGTTTTTTTTGTATGTGTGTGTGTGCTAAAAAGATTTGGGTATTTTTGGCTTTGGTGAAACAAAAGAAGAGATTTTAAATAATGAATATTGCTCAAACTGTTTGAATAGAGGAGGGGGGTTTCTGCATTTACATTCACCCCTATAAATACCTCCTGCTTCATGATATCAATAGAAACACGGTGTGAGCGGTGTTTGGAAAATAGACGCTACACACACACTGCTGTAGCCACATTAAAGAGCAGCAGAGCACCAAAGGGCCCCTGTGGAGGAACTGTAGGGCAGCCTGCGTGGCTCTGCTGCTCAGGGCTGTAGACGAACTTGCAAAGTAGCCATCAGTGCTACTGATAATAGATGAGGTTATTAGGGACATTAGGACATGTTTGCTCTTGAAATGACCAACAAAACAAATTAGGAATGCAGAATGCAGAATGCAGAATGCACTTTCAGATGATGATGCCTGACCTGCTGTAAACTGGTGGAAGAACAGAGAATAATAGAAAATGGTTTTTCATGGCAGGGTGGATCATAACAGTGAACTGAGGAGGGTTTGTTTTATGGATAGGAAACTAAGATAAACTATACAAAGAAGCTGAATGACCATAGTAAAATTATAATTACTAATAACAAATGTATATACAAATGTATATTCTCAGTGATTGGCAATCATTTTTTTAATTAACCACACTGGGCTTTGAGAATCTATTTACATGTTTCACTATTTTTGACTTGCCAATACCAGATAATGATTAATCGTATAAGCAAGAACCCTGCTGCATGATTGATGATTTGTTTTAAGAGTTATGCCAATAATACAATTACATTTATACATTTCTGTCTGTGTGTTTCAGGAGAAGACGACGTTCCAGCAGCAGTTCGTCCCGCAGTTCATCTCGCAGGAGGAGGAGTCGCAGTGCAGCAAGAGACAAAGGGAGGAGCCACCGCTCATACAGGTCACGCAGCCGAGACAGGAGGTAACACCGTTACACATACATACTGCACATATTCACAACTCACTGTTTACTCAAATTTGACGTTTTTTGTTGTATAGCGTTTGGACCGGCCACCAACACAAATCATTTCTTAGATACGGATTATTCAAACCACTGCAGTTTTGATTTGCTTTTTGTTCTTGTTGGTATTAACACTTTTGACAACACTTAGTTGGTTTGGTATTGTAATTTTCCTGACATAGTTTGGCTTAGATTAATCTTGGGAAAACCAAAATTTTTAATTGAATTTCATCATTTCATCTACAATAATAGCATATAATCATGATGATAGTAATAATAATGCTTCCTGAATAAATATCTATTGAACAACATTTTTAAGAATACGTTCCATTTATTCTGAGACGAAGTATATAATGCATTAAGAAAAGGAATGATGAGTGATGGCTTCATCATTTAGGAGTGACAAAAAATTCCACTTCAAACACTCATTGGGTGTTTTTATTACAAATCAGTATGTGGAATGCCATTGCAGACTTTTCTTATTAAAGAAGCAATAAGAATTTTGGAAGTTTACTGTGGCATAAACAATCACATCATTTTGTATTTATGTCTTATGTCATCAGATGTGGCCACATGGAAACTTGCATCTTAGATCTGGATTAACACTTTGCCTATGCATGTACTCATGTATCTACTATCTGTCTTACTGTGTGAGTATTAATGAAACAGAGACCCGCAGAGACAGCAGGTCATATGCAACACCAGTCCAATCTCTTCTGGCAGCAGCTCTCCTTTCACTCATTAATGCAATTAAAACATCATTACCCATACATACTGTGTTGAATTATGATTATTATCGCTGTAGTTGACTCGTTTTTTTTTTCTTTTTTTCTTTGTCTTTTTAGCAAGGGACTAACTTATTCATGCAAGACTAATGTGTACACACCTGCACCACACTTCTCACACACACCCATGCACACACACAGCCATAGTCAATCGTGTATCCCTTTCAGAAACATAAAGGCAAAGTCTCTGTGTGTGGTGGTCCATGTCATTAGCATAGCTAATCTGGTGCTAATGAACCAGTAAACTGTGCTGTTTTTAAATCCCTCACACACACATGGACACGCAGACACATAGAAACGTGCACGGACGCACAATTGAAGAAAAGGTTGTCATAATATATGCGTGAGCAAGGCCCTTTGTTTACTTGTGTATGGCTGCGGGGGAGAGCAGAGATCATTTTAATCACAAAGAAAAAAGAGTTTTAATATCTTCATTACAGAGGTGACAGGATGAAGGGACGATGCAACAGAGATGTTTTGACACAAGTGTGGTTGATGGTTCCATGAAAAGACACCACACTTCAACTACTACAATCTGGTGTTCACAGAACATTTTGTGGCTTCAGAACAAGCAACAAATTTCAGTGTTGCACTGAAACAATTTATTGAGAGAAATTGGCCCAACAGTTTTCACACATTCTCTCTCTCTACTCTCTGCGGTACAGTGGCAGTCACTCACAGCGGCAGTGGTGATTAAAACATCAGTCGAAAATGGCATTACTGGTGTGGGTGCGAGATGAAAGGTGGAGGGGATTTGGGAGATTTAGAACTACAGTCGATGACATCGGTGTTTACAAACAATGCACTGTGATTAGGAGGGTTGCGTTGTGTAATCGGCTTAGCGGTAAGCGAGGAGCAGGTGGGTTGGGCTGGCGTTGGTGGTGGAGGGTTTGTGTGGGTGCGTGGTGGGGTGTTACGAGGTGGAGGCGGTGTTGGAGGTGGGGATGTGTGAAATGATGACATTGATGATAAATTTATGCCGTTATGTGATGGCAGCTGCAATTTGTGTCTGCAAAACTTTGTTGGTGGCGACCACATGTGCACTCCTGTTTCAGCCTTAGAACAATCCAGTGGAAATTTTGTGGTGTCATCTAATAAATGGAGCTAGAGCTGAAACGATTGGTCAATTAATGGATTAGAAAAATAATGTGCAACAATTTTAATATTTGATGAATAATTTCAGTCAATTCTTTAGTAAAAATGCAAAACGTTTTACTTGTTCCGGCTTCTCAAATGTGAAGATTTGCAGCTTTTACTAAATTTCTTTGGGTCTCAGGATCTTGAGACACGGTATTTGAAGACATCACCTCAAACTCTGGAAATTAGGATGGACATTTTTCTCACAATTTTGTGATATTTTATAGACCAAATGATTAATTTATTTATAAAGAAAATAATTGACAGATTTGTTGATGATAAACAAAATTTGCTAGTTGACGCACCAAATTGGACTAATTAAGAGAACTCATGTGACTATCCTGCATTCTCTATTTATTAGTTTTCTGCAGCACTAGGAAAACATTTTAGTCTTATAATCTTATAATCTTGCACTGTACAATTCAGTAGTGGGACACTGCATATTCTACACCCGCTGGAGTTGTGGAATGAAAGTAGGTTGGTGTGTACTGCACACAGGTGCCCTGACTGCCATTAGTCAGTGGTGTGTGTGTGTGTGTGTGTGTGTGTGTGTGTGTGTGTGTGTGTGTGTGTGTGTGTGTGTGTGTGTGTGTATATGTGTGTGTGTGTATATATGTGTGTGTGTCTGGATGAGGTTGCCTGAGCTGGCTGAGAGGCTGGCTGATGGATCAGAGGAGGATTGAGTGGACAGGACCTCATGATTGATACGCAGATAGGATATGAGGTGCTGCCTGCCACCCCCACCCCGGCCACACCAACCCGGCACCACCTTCAGAATAAGAAAGAGAGAAGAGAGACCGAGTGCACCGACCACAGAGAAGAAGGAGAGAGGGGACGAGAAGTTAGAAGAGAATGGAAAAGTCTGGAGAGAATAAGTTGAGTCAGTGCAGGAGAGAGAGTGGAGAAGATCCTAAAGGAGGAAAATGAACAGGAAAGACAAAAGGGAGCGTCGGTACAGAGAACAGGCTTGAGAGAGGGATAATATTCAGAAGAAATGAGAATAATAACGTCTGCATCAGAATATTGCAGGGGAGAAGATTAGGACCATAGTGGGGCTGTCGTGGGTTGAAGGGGGGGAATATTATTACCTTCTTTTCAGTCTCTCATGTATAAATAAAAAATAAAGAGATACATGAAATAAGAATAATGCTCTATCATGTGTTTACCATCTATCGTTGCTTCCTCCCTCTCTCCTCTCTTTCTCCTTTTTTTCCTGCCCTCAATCAGAGGAGGGCCAGGTCCCCCAGAGGCAGTCAATCTTGCCCTGAAATGTAAAACAGACAAGAGGAGCAGATTACCTATTTGCCATTAATGTTTATTCTCTTTGATGTGAGCAGGCATATCAGGCTGTGTGTGTGTGTGTGTATGTGTGTCTGTCTGTGTGTATGTGTATGTGTGTGTGTGTGTGCATGTGCATGTGCGCATGCATGCGAGCCTGCCTGCCTGCACACCAGCAACCGAGCATGTGTGAGGGTGATTGAGCGTATGCATGTATGTGCAAATTTGCGTGAATGCATGTTCATGGAGGGTGTGTGTGTGTCTGTGTCACGGCCTAGTCCACTGGGGGAGAGGTGAGTGGATCATGGTGGCAGCAGCTTACAGTGATCTGATGTGTACCCAGTCCAACAAAGACGACACGGCCTCTCATCACAGTCGGATCACAGGCACGTCTTTAGGTGAGCTCGGCGGTGCGGTGTAGTGCTGGGCTTTTATCGGCGGCCACAGCAGGGGTTAAATGTGTGTGGCTCAGTCAGTCATTCTGTCAGTCCTTCATTGACTTTACAGTTAGCTTTTGAGGCACCGTTGGAAGACACGGAGGACTAGCAAGTGTGACAATTCCACCACTTGACCCGTCAAAGAGAAGCTGAGGATTTTCATTTATTGTTAGGTATTCATACATGCATGCACACATAAGTGAGCATATACTTCAGGTTACACACAAACGCTTACATTTTCCTCATTAATATTTCAGGGATGTGTTGAGTTAGCAGGGCAGAGTGCTAGCGTCAGGGTTTAGCCCTGTTAACACTGGAGCGGCTTCATCACTGGGATGCTGTCATGACTCTAAGGAGAGTGAGACCTCTAATTATCTGTCTTTCACCCCAGAGGAGATAGATAGCAAGCTAAACACACCACCCAACATGCTAGGATAGCCGACCAGAGTCTGGATTGTCTCAGCCACCCTGGAGCCACAGAGGCCTGGATGAGTCCAGAACTGGTGCTTAGTTAGAGCTAGAGGGGAAAGGACTGTAGGTGGTACATGGTTTTAGCCTAGACAGTCGATATAAAAAAAAATGTGGTTATGGTCAAGTACAAACTGAAATTGCCACATTTCTTTTGTGTAGTCAGTTTTTATTCATAAGGACTCATTGCAACGGATGGTTTTTATGAATAGGTTACCAGATGTACCTGATTGTTGTTGGGGTGTTTGAACTTGTGGCCGGGGCTCCTGCTTTAAAGGATTAGATTTACATTTTAGGGCAGTTTTTTTGCTGGCCAGGAAATGGTTTACCACATACCTTCCCATAACACTGCAACTTATTGTTTTTACATGTGCTTTTTTTCACAGATTTAACATGTGAGATACAATGTTTTAATTAGTGAACTGCCAGTGCCAGGCTAGCCGTTTCCTCTCTGTTTCCAGTCTTTATGCTAAATTAAGCTATTTGGCTGCCAGCGGTAGCTTCATATTTACTATACAGACATCAGAGTGGTATCAGTCTTTTCTAGTAGTCATTATCAGGAAAGGACTAAGTGTATTTCCCAAAATGTCAAACTATACCTTTAAGGGTGACATGAAACATAGGATGTAATAATAATGATAATGAGACACTTTAGTGATCCCCTTTAGGGACATTCTCCTGACTCCTTCAGAGAGGTCAGAGGTCAGGGTTGAGTAAAGATCAGGGCCCAGAGCACCCAGATTCAGTGCTTGGTCAGGGATATTTAAGCAGGTACAATGCCTTGTACATCAGTAGTTGACCTAGAGTCTTCTGGCTGTGAGACAGTCCTCTAACCACTTTGCCACCCTGCCATGTC